CTCTCGGGGTATGCGAGAACACATGGTTAGACGAGGAAAGAGCAGTAAGAGTAGCAGTGTTTTCTGTGGTAATCCATGTTTCTTTCAGCGCCAAGAAGTCGAGGGACTGGAGGGTAGCATAGGCTGAGATGAACTCTGCCTTGTTGGCCGTAGAACGGCAGTTCCAGAGGCTGCCAGAGACCTGGAACTCCACGTGGGTCGTGCGCGCAGGGACCACCAGATTAGAGTGGCAACAGCCACGTGGTGTGAAGTGTTTGTATGGCCTGTGCAGAGAGGAGAGAACAGGGATAGACAGACACATAGCTGACAGGCTACAGAAAAAGGCTACAATAATGCAAAGGAGATCGGAATGAAATTAACTAAACATCTGGGAAAGCAAGAGAGCGGGGCCTCCCTCACTTACGTTTCACTGAAACACTCAAATATAACTCTCCAAACTTCCACTTTATAAATTATAATTGTTGTAAACTACAGCGGTTCAATGTTTCTAGGAATAGACTAACTTAGTTTATTCAGCTAGCAACTTGGTACAGTATTCTTCCGTGAAAACCGTCCAGGGCACCGAATCCTATGACGCCAAAGCCAACTAGCATGCCAGCCTCCAATAACACGGTTTAGCACCAATACTCGGTTACAACAAACCACCAGTGTGTTAACACGCCAAGCAGATCATTTGTGTCCGTGTCTAACGTTGTGTAAAGTTTTGGGTTAGTTTTGACAGTTTGAGTGAGTACGTCGTCAACTTATTCAGCCAGTTAGTTAGCTAGAATAGTTAGCATACAAGCTAGCCATTGCTCTCTGCCAACGAGCTAACCCCTCCTCCCACGGCACGAACACACAGAGAGCCAAGCTAACATTAACTAGTCACCCATGTCCCGAATTCCCTTGAACGACTCTGGTTACCAGTATGTAAAAACAAAACAAAAATAAATGTAGGTTATAACTTACCCTTAGTAGCTACTGTTAGCCAGTTAAGTGCAAAGCTAGCCACTGAATCGATTCAGCCAGTTCGCGTCTTTCCCAACGGAGAGAACGCGTCTCTAAATATTAAAGCTAGGTCGTTCCAGCTATTGTTTAATTAGCTATCCAGGTAGCTACATTTCGAATACAGTAGCTACTAACTACCTAACGTTAATGCTTCAGATAATGAGGTTAGAAAAACAGCTGAATGGTAGGTAGCTAGCTGGCATAATTACAGGTACTCTTAAGCGTGAAATAACATTGGAAACAACTATCCACAGTTGCTAATAGTTACCAGTAGCTACCCGCTAGCTAGCTAGCTTTATTGGTCCAGGTAGTGAGTTAGCTAGCCTCGTGCTTCACCGGGCTAGCCTACTACTGTTGTGTTGTCTGCAAACTTGATGGTTGAGTTGGAGGCGTGCTTGGCCACGCAGTCATGGGTGAACAGGGAGTACAGGAGGGGGCTGAGCATGCACCCTTGTGGGGCCCCAGTGTTGAGGATCAGCGAAGTGGAGATGTTGTTTCCTACCTTCACCACCTGGGGGCGGCCCGTCAGGAAGTCCAGGACCGAGTTGCACAGGGCGGGGTTCAGACCCAGGGCCTCGAGCTTAATGATGAGCTTGGAGGGTACTATGGTGTTGAATGCTGAGCTATAGTCAATGAACAGCATTCTTACATAGGTATTCCTCTTGTCAAGATGGGATAGGGCAGTGTGATGGCGATTGCATCGTCTGTGGATCTATTGGGGCGGTAAGCAAATTGAAGTGGGTCTAGGGTGACAGGTAAGGTAGATGTGATATGATCCTTGACTAGTTTCTCAAAGCACTTCATGATGACAGAGGTGAGTGCTACAGGGCGATAGTCATTTAGTTCAGTTAACTTTTTGCTTTCTTGTGTACAGGAACAATTATGACACTGTTAAAGCTGCTATCCTTCGGGCTTACGAGTTGGTACCAGAGGCATACAGACAACAGTTCTGTAAATTACTAAAGACAGAATCACAAAGCCATGTTGAGTTCGCAAGGGAAGAAGCATCTTTTTGATGATCAAATTGTATTTGATACATGCGCCGAATGCAACAGGTGTAGACCTTACCGTGAAATGCTTACTTACAAGCCCTTAACCAACAATGCAGTTTTAAGAAATAGATTAGTTAATAAAATGTTAACTAAATAAACTAAAGTAAAAAAAATAAAAAAATAATGTAACACAATAAAATAACAATAATGAGGCTATATACAGGGTGTACCTGTACCGAGTCAATGTGCAGGGGTACAGATTAGTAGAGGTCATTTGTACACGTAGGTAGGGGTAATGTGACTATGCATAGACAATAAACAGCTAGTAGCAGCAGTGTAAAAATAAAGGAGGGGGGGGGGGGGTCAATGCAAATAGTCCGGGTGGCCATTTGATTAATTGTTCAGCAGTCTTATGGCTTGGGGGTAGAAGCTGTTAAGGAGCATTTTGGACCTAGACTTGGAGCTCCGGTACTGCTTGCCATGCGGTAGCAGAGAGAACGGTCTATGACTTGGGTGACTGGAGTCTTTGACAATTTTTTGTGCCTTCCTCTGACACCGCCTAGTATATATGTCCTGAATGTCAAGAAGCTTGGCCCCAGTGATGTACTGGGCTGAACGCACTACCCTCTGTAGCGCCTTACGGTCGGATGCCCAGCAGTTGCCATGCTAGGTGGTGATGCAACTGGTCAGGATGCTCTCGATGGTGCAGCTGTATAACTTTTTGAGGATTTTTTATTTTATTTTACCTTTATTTAACTAGGCAAGTCAGTTAAGAACAAATTCTTATTTACAATGACGGCCTACACCGGCCAAACCCGGACGACGCTGGGCCAATTGTGCGCCGCCCTATGGGACTCCCAATCACGGCCAGTTGAGATACAGCCTGGAATCGAACCAGGGGGTCTGTAGTGACGCCTCAAGCACTGAGATGCAGTGCCTTAGACCGCTGCGCGGACCCTTGCCAAATCTTTTCAGTCTCCTGAGGGGGAAAAGGCGTTGTCGTGCCCTCTTCACGACTTTCTTGGTGTGTTTGGACCATGATAGTTTGTTGGTGATGTGGACACCAAGGAACTTGAAACTCTCGACCGACTCCGCTACAGCCCCGTCAATGTGAATGGGGGTGTGTTCGGCCCTCCTTTTCCTGTAGTCCACGATCATCTCCTTTGTCTTGCTCACGTTGAGAGAGAGGTTGTTGTTCTGGCACCACACTGCCAGGTCTCTGACCTCCTCCCTACAGACTGTCTCATCGTTGTTGGTGATCAGGCCTACCACCGTTGTGTTGTTAGCAAACTTAATGATGGTGTTGGAGTCGTGCTTGGCCACGCAGTCGTGGGTGAACAGGGAGTACAGGGGGGGACTAAGCACGCACGCCTGAGGGGCCCCCGTGTTGAGGATCAGCGTGGCAGATGTGTTGTTGCCTACCCTTACCACCTGGGGGCGGCCTGTCAGGAAGTCCAGGATCCAGTTGCAGAGGGAGGTGTTTAGTCCCAGGCTCCTTAGCTTAGTGATGAGCTTTGTGGGCCCTATGGTGTTGAACGATGAGCTGTAGTCAATGAACCGGATTCTCACATAGGTGTTCCTTTTGTCCAGGTGAGAAAGGGCAGTGTGCAGTGCAATTGAGATTGCGTCATCTGTGGATCTGTTGGGGTGGTATGCGAATTGGAGTGGGTCTAGGGTTTTCGTGATGATGGTGTTGATGTGAGCCATGACCAGCCTTTCAAAGCACTTCGTGGCTACCGACATGAGTGCTACAGGGCGGTAATCATTTAGACAGGTTACCCTGTTAGGTGAAGGTTGTGCGGTCGGAGTCCGCACCTTTGTGGGGGGGGTACTGTCACGCCCTGACTGAGGGGACTCGTATATGTTGAGTCAGGGTGTGTATATTCTTTGTTGTGTATATTCTATGTGGTGTATCTAGTATGTATAGATCTATGTTGGCCGGTGTGGTTCCCAATCAGAGGCAGCTGTCGCTCGTTGTCTCTGATTGGGGATCATACTTAGGCAGCCGATTGGCACTGTTTTGTTGTGGGATCTTGTTCCGTGTTTAGGCTTGTTTTGTGTTAGCCTTTGGACTTCACGTGTCGTTGGTTTGTTGTTTTGTCGTGTGTTTAGCATTTAATAAACATGTATGCATATCACGCTGCGCCTTGGTCTGACCCGTCCTTAAACAAACGTGACAGAAGATCCCACCAAACACGGACCAAGCAGCGTGCCCAGGAGGACCGAACACCCTGGACACAGGTGGGGAAGATTTGGTCATGGGAGGAGATATTTGCGGGAAAGGACCCTGGGCGAAGAAGGAAGCCCAGGCAGGAGAGGAGCAACGGCAACACGGAAGCCGGCCGAGGAGGAAGCCCGAGAAGCAGCCCCAATAAAAAAAATGTGGGGGCTAAAGGGGTGGTCGGGGAGCGAGAGAGAAGAGCCCCGACCACTGCACCTGGTTGGTTTCCAGATTGGGTCCCTACGACCATGGGAAGAGGAGTGGGAACAGTATTATACTGAGGAGTCGGAGGATGACGATCTCGAGAGGTCAAGGACCTTGAGGATTTAAAGATACTCATGTTTCTCGAGCAGTTGAAGAATTGCCTTCATGAAAGGGTTGCTACCTACGTTTATGAGCACAAGGATCTCACTCTTGTGAAAGCTGCAGTCCTTGCAGATGAGTTTGTGTTGACACATAAAACTACCTCCACAAACAAAGCACCCAGTAGTTATCCCTACGCAAAAAGCAATCCAGAGAAGTCACCTCTTACTGCAAGATTTCAGTATTTTTCTACAGTGCCCAAAGATAAAGATTGGCAGAAAACTGTGTTTTCGTATCCACCAGTTTGTTATTTCTGGGGTGAGGACTCGCCTACCGGTGAAGGGAGTGTCATTCATTTTGGGAAACGATTTGGCTGGAGCGAAGGTCATGCCAAGTCCTGTCATTTGTAAAAATAAAAAAAAAACAGAGTAGAGGAATCTGATGGGTTATCAGAAAAGTACCCTAGCGTGTTCTCAGCATGTGCGGTTACACTTGCTATGTCTAAGAAAGTCACCGGGAGCAAGTCTATTGTTGAGGAGGATATCAACGATCCCACCGTGGTCAATCTGTCTGAGACGTTTATGAGTGATCCTGATTTTGGTAAACCTCCTGAGTTGATCTCTCCTTTGAAAACCCCAAAGGTGAGCAAGTTTGTAGGACCACTGAAGGAAGAGAGGGTCCCTACAGTTGATACGTCAATGTTTAGGAAGCAGTTGATTGCGGAACAGATGAAAGATGTTTCCCTCTCCCCTCTTTTTGCTAAGATACGTCCAGAGGCGGAGTTTGATGAAGTTCGTGTGGGTTACTTTGACAAAGATGGTGTTCTAATGAGGAAATTGGCATTCTCGCGCCACTTCTGGGCAAGACGATTGGCCCAGTGTATTTCAAATTGTCGTTCCATTTACGCTTTGACTGTATCTTGACCGTATCTTGCGTAAATTCTTCTGGCCTGGTCTGAAACAAGATGGCGTGTCTTACTGTAAATCCTGTTATGTTTGCCAGCGCACGGGTAAACCGATCCAAGCTGTGCCAGTTGCACCTTTGCAGCCTATTCCTGCTTTTGACTAACCTTTCAGCAGGGTTCTGGTGGATTGTGTTGGTCCTTTGCCCAAAGCAAAGAGTGGTTACCAGTTTCTCTTAACCATTATGTGCGCTGTCACTCGTTTCCCTGAGGCCATTCCACTCAGGAAAATCACGAGAGGAAAGTTACTACGGATATTGCAGGAGTTTCCACTTGAGATCGGATCGGATATGTCCGTGGTAAGAACAACTTGGTTGCTGATTGTCCTTCAATGGTGGGCAGTCAATACGTTTTGTGTTTTGCGTTTAGCTAGTCTGTAGCCCTGGCTCACAATTTATTTTGACTGCACGTTTTGATATTTTGGAGATTAGTTTCGTTTTGGTTGCGCTCATTCCAAGGGGATGAGAGTTATAGAAACATATGTGATTTTAACCGTTTCTCAACTTGTGAGTTTTTGTATTTCTGTCTGTAATAAAGCCCTTTTGTGGGGGAAAACGCATTCTGATTGGCTGGGCCTGGCTCCCCAGTGGGTGGGCCTATGCCCACCCATGGCTGCACCCCTGCCCAGTCATGTGAAATCCATAGATTAGGGCCTAATTTATTTATTTCAATTGACTGATTTCCTTATATGAACTGTAACTCAGTAAAATCTTTGAAATTGTTGAATGTTGCGTTTATATGTTTGTTCAGTATATTTATGTATTTATGCATTATATGTGGTGATGTTGTGCTGATGAGTTTGAGATGCAAGACAAATTTCCCGAAAGGGACACAATAAATAATTATTATAAACCCACTAACCACAGCCTGTGCCTCCCCCTTCCACTAACCACAGCCTGTGCCTCCCCCTTCCACTAACCACAGCCTGTGCTTCCCCCTTCCACTAACCACAGCCTGTGCTTCCCCCTTCCACTAACCACAGCCTGTGCTTCCCCCTTCCACTAACCACAGCCTGTGCTTCCCCCTTCCACAAACCACAGCCTGTGCTTCCCCCTTCCACTAACCACAGCCTGTGCTTCCCCCTTCCACTAACCACAGCCTGTGCTTCCCCCCTTCCAGTTACAGAAGAACTGCCTGCTGGTGCTCTGCAGTGACACCATCCTTCAGGACGTCCCTTTTGACAGGTCAGTCATTCCATAGCCTGGTGAATTGACAGGTCAGTCAGTCCATAGCCTGGTGAATTGACAGGTCAGTCAGCCCATAGCCTGGTGAATTGACAGGTCAGTCAGTCCATAGCCTGGTGAATTGACAGGTCAGTCAGCCCATAGCCTGGTGAATTGACAGGTCAGTCAGTCCATAGCCTGGTGAATTGACAGGTCAGTCAGTCCATAGCCTGGTGAATTGACAGGTCAGTCAGTCCATAGCCTGGTGAATTGACAGGTCAGTCAGCCCATAGCCTGGTGAATTGAAATCAATCTAAATCAATTTAATCGAAACCTTGAGTTGTGTGTGCAGATCTTAAATTAGGATTCAGTTCTAGGTGTTATAGGATCTCACTGCTGTGTCCCTGTCAGATTCGAAGCAGCCAAGCTGGTGATGAACTGGCTCAGCGGTCACGTGGACCGGACCCTGCAGAGGATGGCCGTGGCCGTCATCTCCATACTAGTGGCCAAAGTACGTCCCTACCCTTCTTTAAATGCATTATTTCCTCAACAGTAACATCTCCATTCAATGGCCAAAGTAGTGCACCCCAAACCCCGCATGGACCGGAATGTTTGACTGGGAGTAGGGTTGATGTATGGGACTCCATGGGCAGTTGGCAGTGGCTTATGTTGCCGCGATCATTTGTTGAAACAGTTTGTCTCTCTGCAGCTGTCCACACAGCAGACCACACAGCTGGGGGCTGATATCTTTATTATGAAGGTAAGAAATCTGTATCCCTCATTTCCTCTCCCCCTCACCTCACCTCACCTCTATCTCTCTTCCTTCCCCCTCACCTTATCTCACCCTCTTCCCACCTCACCTCACCTCACCTCTCTCTCACCTAACCTCTTTCTCCCCCCTCACCTCACCTCTCTCTCCCCCTCACCTCTCTCTATCTCCCTCTTCCCCTCACCTCACCTCTATCTCTCTCTCTGCCCTTCACCTGACCCCTCTTCCTCTCTCCATCAACTCTCTCTCCTCCTCTCTCCTTCTCACCTCTCTCTCTCTCTCCCCCTCCCTCCTCTCTCTATTCCTCTCTTCCCACTCACCTCTATCTCTTCCTCTGTCCCTCTCCCTCCTCCTCACTTCACCTCTCTCTCTCCCCCCCTCTCTCTTTCTATTCCTCTCTCCCCCCCACCTCTATCTCTTCCTCTCTCTCACCTCACCTCTTATACTCCTCTCTCTCCACCTCACCTCTCTCTCTCTCTCGCTCTCTCTCCGTCTCCCCTCTAACAGCAGCTGCTGGGTATAGTGCAACAGAAAGCCATGGCGGGAGTAGTGGACTCCACTCTGAAGTTTGCCCTGAGTGCTCTGTGGAACCTGACTGATGAGACACCCACTGCATCGCGACACTTCATCCAATGTCAGGGCCTGGAGCTGTACGAGGAAGTGCTGGAGGTAGGAGAAACACACTCTTACACACACACACATTTATAGTTGAAATAGTGGAACCATTCAATGAATTGTCCTCTCCCTCTTGCCTTGCAGTCCTACTCCTCTGAGTCTTCTATACAGCAGAAAGTTCTAGGTCTTCTGGTGAGTCTTTCTGTTTCAACATGTTGCAGTTGTTGTTTGTTTGTGTATGTCAGTGCTCTGATTTTCTACATTATCATTGTGCATATTATTTACATGTGTTACCCCTGGGGTTGTGTTCTCTAGTCAAAATTGCACAGATAAAATGCATGTTTCTGTAATCAAAACAACTGTTTTGTTTGAGCCAGTAAGCATAAACAAGGGCCAGATTCAATTGAACATGTTTATCTTTGTGGACAGAACCACATCCTGCACATAACAACTGGAAGCATTTATCTGTTGATGGTCCGTGGTTTTCTGTCTCCCTCCATGCTGCGCCTGGCTTCATTAGGGCACACCACAGCGAAACATTTTTAAGCATTTGTAATAGGATCAGATAGTATATCCCTGTTTTACTCTGTTTGGGAGCGTTTCCTTCTGTTTCATTCCTACTGAACACTACCCAGGGCCAGTATTTATAAAGCATTTCAGAGTGAGAGTGCTGATGTAGGATCAGTTTTGTGTTTTAGATCATAATGAATACGATTATATGGACAGGGGGACCTGCTCCTAGTTCAGCACTCCTACTCTGAGTTGCTTGATGAATATGGTTCCTGGTCTCTCTGTGGTCCAGAACAACATAGCCGAGGTGGAGGAGCTGCAGGCAGACATGATGGAGGAGGACCTGTTGGAGCACGTAGTGACCCTGCTCCAGGGGCCCCAGGTGGAGGTGGGGGTCAGCTACTTCGCTGGGGGCATCCTGGCCCACCTCACCTCCAGACAGGATGCATGGACCCTAGACCAGGGGCTCCGTCAAACTATACTGGAACAGATGGTACAGTGTGTGTGTGTGTGTGTGTGTGTGCATATCAGTGTTTTCTTTACTCCAATTACCTGTCTCTACTATCTACAGCATGCTGCCATACTGACCTGGGCCCTCCCTGAGCGTGAGATGGTGTCCTACAGGTAAGACTGTCTGTCTGTCTGTCTGAGCTGCTCAGCGATGCCATATATATCATATATCTGATCAGCGTCTTCATCTCTCTCTGTTCATCTCGCTCGCTCTCCCTCTCGCTCTCTCTCTGTTCATCTCTCTCTATGTTAATCTCTCTCTCTCTCTGTTCATCTCTCTCTGTTCATCTCTCTCTGTTCATCTCTCTTTCTCTCCCTTCCTCCTTACTTCTTTCCCCCCCCCTCCCTCAGGTCGTTCCGGCCGTTCTTCTCCCTGCTCCAGACCTCTCAGCCTGCTGGAGTGCAGCTATGGGCTGTCTGGGCTATGCGTCTCGTCTGCACTCAGAACGGTGAGGGTGTGTGTGTGTGTGTGTGTGTGTGTATCATTTACGTGGTATCATTTAGGGAACTATTGCAATAACTAGAAGATAGCTGGAAGATACTGGGCTGTAGGCACATGCATAGTCCTTTGATCACATAGAATGTGTGTGGCCTGAGGAGGTGTTCTCTTACTAGTTTGTCTATATTATTGAGGCGCTTTAAATGCATTGTATGTCATGTGTGATTCTATTTTATTTCAGGTGTGCAGTACTGCCATATGCTCCAGGAGGATGGGGCAGTGGAACTCCTGAATACCTTGTCCTCTGACCTTGACACCCACAGCGACGTTAGAGGGATGGCAGAGAGCATCCTGGGTATGGTGGAGCACCACCAGACTGCCAGCAATCCCCTGAGAACACAGCCAGCAATCCCCTGAGAACACAGCCAGAAAAGGGACATCATGGGAGGTCATGATGGATCTGTGACCCTTGACCCCTTAGTCACAGGTGGGAGGAGGATTCTATATTTTTAAATACATTAGGTATTAGGAAAGGGTGTGTTTAAATATAAATTATTCTCTTTCTGTGTACAGTCTACTAGATGTAATTTATAGTAGTTGCATTGGTGGAAATTAGGCTAATAAATAAATATATATTAATATTACATTTTTTTCACATAAATACACTTTTTGACATCAGACTCCACAATACCTAGCTGTAGAAATAATTTTTCAACAACATTTTAAAAAATCACTGGAAGTAAGTGACCTGGATAACTGCATAGTTGCTGCTGTTAAAAAGAAAAGAAGAGCTATTTTTAGTCGACACAATTAAAACAACTTTCAAAGAGACTAGGATAATGAGCTCTCCTAATTAAACAGGAATGTAACAACAAACCGTTGTACTGTGTGTTTGGGGTTTAAAATCCAATCTCTGTCACCAGAGGGCTCTGAGGTGCTGCGTTACTGAGTCTATACCAATGATGTATATAAACCCTGGATTGCTGATGCTACAGGGCCTTCAGAAAGTATTCAAAGTACCCCTTGACTTTTTCCACATTTTGTTGTGTTACAGCCTGAATTTTTAATTGATTAAATTGAGATTTTGTGTCACTGATCTACACAAAATACCACATAATGTCAAAGTGGAATTCTGTTTTTAGAAATGTTTACAAATGAATTACAAATGAAACGCTGAAATTTCTTGAGTCAATAAGTATTCAACCCCTTTGTTATGGCAAGCCTAAATGAGTTCAGTAGTAAACATTTGCGTAACAAGTCACATAATAAGTTGCATGGACACACTGTGTGCAATAATAGTGTTTAACATGATTTTTGAATGACTACATCATCTCTGTGCCCCACACATACAATTATCTGTAAGGTCCCTCAGTCGAGCAGTGAATTTCAAACACAGATTCAACCACAAAGCCTCTCTCAGGTTTTCCCAATGCCTCTCAAAGAAGGGCACCTATTGGTAGATGGGTAAAAATTTTAAAAGCAGACATCGAATAGCCCTATGAGCATGGTGAAGTGATTAATTACACTTTGGATGGTGTATCAATACACCCAGTCACTACAAAGATACAGGCGTCCTTCATAACTCAGTTGCCAGAGAGGAAGGAAACCGCTCAGGGATTTCACCATGAGGCCAATGGGGAATTTAAAGAGTATAATGGCTGTGATAGGAGAAAACTGAGGATGGATCAACAACATTGTAGTTACTCCACAAAACTAACTTAAATGACAGAGTGAAAAGAAGGAAGCCTGTACGGCACAAAAATATTCCAAAACATGCATCCTGTTTGAAATAAGGCACTAAAGTAAAACAGCAAAAAATGTGGCAAAGAAATTAACTTTATGTCCTGAATACAAAGCAATATGTTTGGGGCAAATCCAACACAACACATCACTGAGTATCATTCTTCATGTTTTCAAGCATGGTGGTGGCTGCATCATGTTATGGGTATGCTTGTCATTGGCAAGGACTATGGAGTTTTTAGGATAAAAATAAACGAAATAGAGCTAAGCACAGGCAAAATCCTAGAGGAAAACCTGGTTCAGTTTGCTTTCCAACAGACACTAGGAGACAAATTCACCTTTCAGCAGGACAATAACCTAGAACACAAGGCAAAATATACACAGGAGTTGCTTACCAAGACGGCATGGAATGTTCCTGAGTGGCCTAGTTACAGTTTTGACTTAAATCGGCTTGAAAGTTCAAGTCGTGCGAAGGTTGTGAAAAAAAAGTCAGGACAGACTTAGAGTAACACAGGGCTTGTTGTGGATTTGGTTATTGTGCTTCGATCCCTTTTCCCCTAAGAATAATATCTTGATTATATTATTAATTGTTCTGAGTGAGAAAGTCCCGTTAGTTGGACTGCTATTTGTTGTACAGATGCATGAGAAGTTTAGATATGTAACTAGTACAGTATATCCACTGATAGCTGATAGCCTGTACAGTATGCCCACTGATAGCTGTTAGCCTGTTGTGATCAATATTAGAGTGATACCTGAGACTGAGAGAGATGGCGGGAGAGAGAGAGATGGAGGGAGCGAGAGAGAGAGAAATGGAGGGAGAGAGAGAGAGATGGAGGGAGAGAGAGAGATGGAGGGAGAGAGAGAGATGGAGGGAGAGGGAGAGATGGAGGGAGAGAGAGATGGAGGGAGAGAGAGAGATGGAGGGAGAGAGAGAGACTCATAAAAAGAAAGGGGAAACGACAAGTGAAAAAGCAGGGTCCGTGGCCAAAGCGAGAGGAATAAAGAGAGAGCGAGCGATAAAGAAGAGAGACAGATCGGAGATCAGGAAGTGGAACAGACATAATAGACAAAGTTTAGGAAAAATAAATGAAAGACTCCGCAAATATGTTTTAGGCCCTCGCCCGCACACAGAAATACCACAGAGGAAATTGCTGATTGCCTGCCTGTCTGTTCCAGACTGAAATATAATTGTGCTGCTCACTCCTCTGTGGGAGCTTAGCGTGAGTAAGCATCTCATTATCTCACTCTCTCAGACAACACCATTGGATTAACATAATTGTGGACCAGTCTGGACACCCAGAATACTCTATCCAATATTCCATAACACACTCCACTGAAAGACAGAGAGAGAGAGAGATGTGTGTGTGAGTAATGTCTGTTTGTATGTGTGTGTGTGCATGTATGTGTGTTTACACCATTAGGTCAACAACACGTGTGACTTATTTTGGTGTTAATGAAACAGCCAATGTCCCTCTACAGAAGACTGTCAGAGAGACCAATCCAGTGGGAGTTACAGAGTACAGTCAGAGACAGATACAGTGGGAGTTACAGAGTACAGTCAGAGACAGATACAGTGGGAGTTACAGAGTACAGTCAGAGACAGATACAGTGGGAGTTACAGAGTACAGTCAGAGACAGATACAGTGGGAGTTACAGAGTACAGTCAGAGACAGATACAGTGGGAGTTACAGAGAGGACAGGGGACAGACAGAGACAGATACAGTGGGAGTTACAGAGAGGACAGGGGACAGACAGAGACAGATACCGTGGGAGTTACAATGACTGAATATATATGAATGGACAAATAATAATAATATGCCATTTAGCAGACGCTTTTATCCAAAGCGACTTAGTCATGTGCGCATACATTTTTACATTATGGGTGGTCCCGGGGATCGAACCCACTACCCTGGCGTTACAAGCGCCATGCTCTACCACGATCACGTGACACCATTCATTCCTATGTGAAGACTCAATAACGCATTGAAGCCATGAAGCCGGTTAAGATGGCATCTCATGGAGACATAACATGCACAGTTTGAGCTACTCCAGGATGATGTTGCAGGCTAGCTCAGTGCTGCCCCCTCTCATTAAGTAACTCAAGTCGAAGGCCGACCGGAGTACTGCATGCTGCCATTAGCTAGTAATTATCGTTATAACTTCTTCTGTGTGCGATTTTATAATAATCGGTTCAAGGACATACATCTGGTGTATTAGAAGCAATTATTGCTACCATTATTGTCTTTTAATTTTTATTAATTTACACGAAGATTGACCACAAAGATTGACATTTTTCCATTCATTAAAATGGGGGATCATGTTTTCTGCTAACAATGCCTGCAGTACCGCAGTCGGCCTTGAACTTCTGTGGCTTCAATGAGAGTGGGCAGTTGTTCTCCCCTGGTTACAGAGAGGACAGAGGACACAGAAGACAAAGCAGGAAGCCTCTCCAGGCGGTTCTGTGATGCACAAAAGGAGACCACATCTCCACTCCTATCCAATGACCTTTTATTGCTGTGAAAGGGTACAGAGTTGGCAGGCCCCTTGAGCCTGTTGAGCAGTTATACCATAGAGAGGAACCAACTGCTGCCCTGCCAAGTAAAGGCAGGGACTTCTGGCCTGCCCTACTACATCAATCAATCAATCAATCATACTGTACATCAGTCATTAATTTGATTCATCAACTTGTGCTTTTTCAGATTCCCATGGTTTTGTGCTGTCAGAATAAATAGGCTAGTTTGTGACAGAGACAATCACATCAGAAAGGTACAAAACAGGTACAGAGCACTCATTATATACCGTCGTATATGTTTACAATTGTAAGCATAAGAGATGTTCACTTAATATAAGTTACAGTAGTTTTCTTATGTCCCAACCCCAGCTTACGGTAAATTGATAGTGCGGTGTTACTTTTGATTCTATCCAAGGACTTGTTATGATGAAATAATGGAAAAGTAGGCACCCAGTTCTTTGTTGGGTTGTGTGTGTGTGTGTGTGTGTGTGTGTGTGTGCATGTGCGTGCGTGCGTGCGCATGTGTGTGTGTATTTGGGGGGGGGGGGGACATATGTATAGGCAAGGCAGTGAATCTGACTCTTGGACCTTGCTGGCTCCATATAAGAACACAAACACATGGGTGCATGATGTCATACCGCCTGCCATACCGCCGTAGCCCATGTGACTAGCTAGCTCAGAGAGACAGCTGTGACTGTGTCTAACTCCGCCCGCTCCTGGCCTGGATCACATGCTGCTCAACCCCTCACCCACCCAATCAATGAAGCCACAAACAGGACCCTTGTTTTACGTGAGCGCAATATTCAGTGATCAACATAAATTGACCTCTAAGCTATCTTGGAAGAGTCACAGTACCCTGTCCAGTGAATGACGAAGATAGTGTGTAGCTGGATTGTGTGCGTTTGTCCGTGCATGCGTGCGTGTGTGTGTTGGAGGGAAACTGGTTGAAAAGGGAGCGGGTCGTTCCGTGGTTTATTAAAGACAGGGACAGACGTGGTTATTCCTTGACATTCCTGCAGGGTCGTCATGGCAATATAAGTTAGGGTTATAGCAGGTATTCTGTTGCAGCACCCTGGCCCTACCCTTCTCCTCTCCAGCGCACCTCGTGCCTGCCCCTGCTTTTGCCTAACCAGAGAGTTTACCAGAACGTGATGTCCTCATACTGTAGCATATCTGGGAT